CACTGACAAAAAACATTTAAAAAATATATATCTTTTTATACATTCACTGAATATTTCATTAGCCAGCATCAGCCCTGCTTCATTCATTTAAATACAGTTTGTTTAGATAAAGCCAATTTTGTTTTATTAATGACAAACTCATTTTAAATAAATAATTTTCCACTATACTAGCTAAGCAGACTTTCTTAATTATTACGTATTTTCTTGATTATTGCCTTTTTTTTATTTTCTTTTTTTTTTTTGCCACATTAAAGATTTATGTTGTTACGTGTCATATCTATTCCAAAAACACCAGGGCACTTATGGTGAAAAATCTACTTTTTAAACTGTTTGGACAGACATTATGTGTAGTGTATAGACTGTTATATTGGGGTGATAAGCACACATACACACACTCATCGATGCAACTGCACAACAAATACTCATTGGTAAAGTTCTTACTGTAGTATTTCTTACAAATGATACGTGAGATCTCGTATCAGAGATCTGTTGTCTGACCCAGCCGAGGGAGGAGACAGAAACGGTAGGCAGGAAGGACTAGCCTTAAAGGCGCAGTACAACGAAACAGCCCCCTGGTGCAAAAAATGTATAACATAAAATCTTATAAAAGGTATAATGAAAAATCTGATCGGTGTTTTGAGCTGAAACTTTACAGACACATTCTGGAGACGCAAAACACTTATATTAAATCTGAAAAAGGGGTAACCTAGGTGCCCTTTAAATTATAATGACATAATTCAAAATAATTTAGTCTGCAATGCGTAAAACAGAAAACAGGTAAACGATTTGCTCCATGCCTTAAATGTACCAGAATACATATTTTTCAAAGTTAGTTGAACATTTGAAGCCTGATTTTAACAAAGAATCTTTGACCTTTTTTATATTGCAGTTTTAACATTTTAATAAGGGACATTTTTTTCTCAAGGTCCTGAGTTATTTATTTTAGTTATTTATTTTTAGTTATTTATTTTACTTTTTTGTAGCAAGTGTGAAACATTTACAAAAGAAAAAGAGGGTGAAATATTAACAGTTTAATTAAAAAGGCGTTTTGTCAGACTTGGTGCTAACCACATTGTCAAAGACAAAATTTAAACAAACAAACACAAACAAACAAACAAACAAACAAAAAACAAACAAACAAATAAATAAATAAAGGAAGGAATAACAATACTTTTGTATAGGCAAATATAAATGACTTTTGTATTTGTGAACTAATGAACGAACGACTAAACAAACAAATGAATAAAAGAAATTGTGAGAATAGAACAATCAAACAAATAAATAAATAGATAAACGAACAAACGAATAAATGAAGGGATGAACAAACAAACAAACAAATTAACAAATGTATAAAAAAGACATTTTTGTCAGAAATGGTGCAGACCACATTGTCACAGACAAAATTTAAACATAATTTATAATTTAGACATTATACAGTAACTTGCCTAATTACCCTAATCTGCCAAGTTACTAACCAAATTAAGCATTTGAATACCACTTTAAGCTGTAGACAAGTGTCTTGAAAAATATCTAGTAAAATAATATTTATTATTTATTTACTGTCATCATGTCAAAGATAAAAAAATTGGAAAAAAATCAGCTATTATAAATGAGTTATTAAAATTATTATGTTTAGAAATGTGTAGGAAAAAAATATTTTTGTTAAACAGAAATTGGGTAAAAAAAATAAATAACAGGGGGGCTAATAATTCAGGTGGGTTAATAATTCTGACTTCAACTGTACATTATTTTTTAAACGTGAATTAATGGATGAATGAACAAAAAAAAAAGCAAATGTATAAAAAATATTTTTTGTGATAATTGATGCTGACTGCATTGATAGAGAAAATTTAATTAAACAAATAAACAAACAAACAAACAAACAAACAAATACATACATACATACATAGACAGACGGACGGACGGACAGACAGACAGACAGAGAGACAGATAGACAGACAGACAGACAGACAGACAGACAGACAGACAGACAGACAGACAGACAGACAGACAGACAGATAGACAGACAGACAGACAGATAGATAGATAGATAGATAGATAGATAGATAGATAGATAGATAGATAGATAGATAGATAGATAGATAGATAGATAGATAGGAAGATAGATAAAAAAAGATAGAGGAACGGACAAAGCTCACGTTACCCTTAATCATAATACAATCTTATTCAGAATCAGCTAAATAATTAGATTACTGATGTCCATGTAAACGTACACAGTGAAACCTCAGACTAAATGTACTGTAACCCACATCCTTCAAACTGCAAAGAAGAAAGCCGTGGCTAAAAGGCTGTCAAATATGACATCTCAGCTGTGCAGAAGGCATGTGGGAGACTTTGAAGCCAGCTGGAAGAAGGCTTTATGATCTGATGAGGCTAAAAATTGAGCTTTTTGGGCCATTAAAATAAACGCAGCGTCTGGCGTCAAAGCTAAACACCGAGCATCAGCAGAAAGCCATCATCCCCACTGCGAATCGTGGCGGTGGGCAGCTTCATGCTGAGGGCCATATACGCTTCTCTCCGGCAGCTCCTGGAGGGCTCGTGAGGGTAAAATAAATGCAGTAGAAATACACAGAAGTCCTGAAGGAACACCTGATGGGGTCTGCCAGACACCTGCAGCAGGAGATTTGTTTTCTAGCAAGATAGTGACCTGAAGCGTGAAGTCCAAGTTAGACATGGCTTTAAAAATAAAATAAATAAAAAAGCATGTTTCTGTCCTGCAGTGGACTGAGTTGGGATCTCCAACTGAGCTTTTATGGGTAGACATTCAGTCATGATCTGATCATGTGTAACCTGACTGAGATTGAGGACTTGGGGAATGGAAAGAAGAAAGAAAGAAAGAAAGAAAGAAAGAAAGAAAGAAAGAAAGAAAGAAAGAAAGAAAGAAAGAAAGAAAGAAAAAAAGAAAGAAAGAAATAGGAGAAAAGGAGGCAGGAAAGGGGGAGAAAGAAAGGAAAGAAAGAAAGAAAGAAAGAAAGAAAGAAAGAAAGAAAGAAAGAAAGAAAGAAAGAAAGAAAGAAAGAAAGAAAGGAGACAGGGAGGGGGAGAAGGGAAGAAGTGAAGAAAGAAGGAAGGAATGAGAGAAAGAAAAAAATTAAGAAAAAAAGAAAGAAAGAAAGAAAGAAAGAAAAAAAGAAAGAAAGTAGACAGGGAGGGGGAGAAAGGAAGAAGTGAAGAAAGAAGGAAGGAATGAGAGAAAGAAAAAATTTAAGAAAAAAAAGAAAGAAAGAAAGAAAGAAAGAAAGAAAGAAAAAGAAAGAAAGAAAGAAAGAAAGAAAGAAAGAAAGAAAGAAAGAAAGAAAGAAAGAAAGAAAGAAAGGAGGAAGGGAAGGAGGGAGGGAGGAAAAGAGGGAGGCAGAGAGGAATGGAGAAAGAAAGAAATGAGGGATGGAGGCAGAGAGGGATGGAGAAAGAAAGAAAGGAAGCAATGAAGAAAGAAGGAAGGGAAGAAAGAAAAAAAGAATGAAGGAAGGAAGGAAGGAATAAAGACGGAAAGAAAAAAAGAAAGAAAGAAAGAAAGAAAGAAAGAAAGAAAGAAAGAAAGAAAGAAAGAAAGAAAGAAAGAAAGAAAGAAAGAAAGAAAGAAAGAAAAATGAGGGAAGGAGAGAGGGAGGGATGGCAGGAGGGAGCAAGAAAGAAAGGAACGAATGAAGAAAGGAGGAAGGAAGGAAGGAAGGAAGTAAGGAGGGAAGGAAGGAAGAAAGAAAGAAAGAAAGAAAGAAAGAAAGAAAGAAAGAAAGAAAGAAAGAAAGAAAGAAAGAAAGAAAGAAAGGAAGGAAGGAGGGAAGGAAGGAAGGAAGGATTTTGAGGCGATACAGTGTCGCAATGGCTAGCATGTTCGCCCTACAACAAGAAGGTCACTGGTTTGAGCCTCGGCTGGGTCATTTTTCAGTGTTTCCAATAATACTTTTTCTTCTGGAGGAAGTCTGATTTGTTTTATTTAGGGTAGAATAAAAGCATTTTTTATTTTATTTTTTAACATTTTGAGGTTAATATTATTTCCTAATTAATCTAGTTCAGCCTTTAAATGACACCTTAAGCTGAATATTAGTATCTTAAAGTATTATGTACTGTCATTATGGCAAATATAAAAGAAATCAGTGATTAGAAATTAGTTATTATAACTAATACGTTTAGAAATGTGATGAAAAAAAAAGAAAAATGTTAAACGGAGAATTGTGGAAAAAAATATATACAGGGGAGCTTCAACTCTAAAGGGTTCAATTCTGACTTAAACTGTGTTTAAAAACATGAAAAGTTAAGTGTGTATGCATGTACAGTATTTAAGTATAGATTTATATTTTATTATTTTTATACAAACTCAAATTCCTGTGAGCTGTGGCCAGTTCAGTTCAAAACTCATGCGCGGAAAAGAAAACAATTGAACTTTGCATTCCACCGATGCAAATAAAGATTTAGTCCTTGAGACCAATTTGCTGAAACGTTTCCACGTTCACATAAAAGAATATTTTTTTCTCTGTTGATCACTGTCAAAAGGCCAATTAAATGCTCAATGCCGTAGTAGAACAACAGAGAGTAAAAACTTACAAGAGAGTGAACACTTTTTTTATAGACGCCGTAAACTAAGTGTGGACCAGCATGGGAATTCAATATCTAGTCCTTTCAGCAGGGTAGTTTGTGGCCGTGCTCTTATCACATAGAGGTGCAATGTATAGTTTGTTGTGCTCAGCGTGGAACTAACATCAATACGTTTGACGAGCACAAATTTGTTCTCTAATAGAGATGTCAAATCAAATACGTCCCACCGTTTGAAGGAAAATTAAACCAGTCTGGGCTGATTTATTTGGCGGCCTGCACCAGCAGTGTTGTGGGCTCTTTGATTATGGGTGTGTGATATACCCTTTTTCACTTCCTGGGGCTGTGTTTACAACGCTTTAAAACACTGAGGACGCTCCGTTCCTGTGCCTGGGCATAATCAGAGCTCCATTGTCTTGCATTCATTACTGTCGTTCTTGTTTCAGATACACCATTGATCGCCACACAGACCTGGAGAGGCTGTTTAACATCGATTCCAACAATGGGACCATCAGCACACTGCAGGCGCTGGACAGAGAAACCTCCAAATGGCACAACATCTCGGTTTTGGCCACGGAGCTCAGTAAGTTTGCTTTTGTGATTGCTTGTTGGATCACCGAACAAATGAGATAATTGTGTGAAGATTTGCATACAACAGTATTATCATTAGCTGTTTCCATCTAAAGATGTGAACTGACTTTAAGTGCAAAACTGGAATAAGGCATAAAAGACGTGCGAATAAAGCAACGTTTCTATCCAATGAGTCAACAAAATCGTCACTTCCTTATTAACTGGCGTCAAATATCAAAAGTAAAAACATAATTTGCAGCTTTAATCTTTTCTTTATTTATTAAAATACTTGCGCCTCAGAAAACAAACGCCAACATGCAATGAACAGGTGGTAAGACGCTGAACACAGACAACTCTGAAGGTGTTTAATAATCTAATACCACCAATACAGAAGTGGTTTAGGCGTTTTAGAATGACCAAAACAACATTTCAGATGATTTACAATGTGGTCAGCCAGCTGGTGTGTCCATTCACACACATTTTTATCATCACATGATCTCTAATAACAAAATCACATGACTTTTTTTAAATTCTAGAGCTGCACAATTAATCGTAAAAAGACCGCAATCTCGATTGGACCCCTTAGGTCAGGGGTGTCAAACTCAATTCCTGGAGGGCAGAAGCCCTGCACAGTTTAGTTCCAACCCTTCTCCAACACCAACCCAAGCTCATTCTGGAAACGTAGCCCCGCGGACGTTTCTGGAGACCGCGATTTACGTGGCCGGAGGTACGTAAAGGCCGCGTTTGGTTTTTTTCGAGCGAACGCTGTGGGGCTGTGTGGCGCCGCTCCGCCCCTCCTCTTCGCACTCGCCGGCCGACGGCTCGCCACCGAGTGGAGGGCTTTTCCAATCAGTCAGTTTGTCCGCCAGCGCACAGCGTTGCGTCGGCGGAGCGGAGGCCCCGGACGAGGAGGAGGAGCCGGAGCCGGCCGCGGTGGACGACGACCGGGATTGAGTCCGGGGAACAGAAGGTTCCGAAAATCAGGTAAGATGAAAAACGGAATCTGAAAAATGAGGGCGAGAACGCGGCGGGATCCGAAAACGCGGTTGAAATCGAAGACGAGGGCTTTTGCTTTTTTTTTTTTTTTTCCCGATCCGGGGGCTTTTCACGCGAGATTGACGCGGGCGCGAACGTCGCGCGCTCCCTAGATCCGCGAAAACAAAAAACCACTCGAATACGTACCTCCCGGGACGTAAATCGCAGTCCGCAGAAACGTCCGTGGGGCTACGTTTGCACAATGAGCCCGGGTTGTCCAACACACTTACCTGTAGGTTTCAAACAAGCCTGAAGGAGTCAATCAGTTTGATCAGGTTTGTTTGATCAGGGCTGGAACTAAAGTGTGCAGAGCTGCAGCCCTTTTGGAACTGAGTTTGACACCTGTGCCTTAGATGATCCTAATCCAGCATTTCTCTATTCTGTCAATCATATTTTTAGGATCAGGAGAGAAGCAAAAGTGGCCGCACAAGTCTTCACACTGTTTTACATATGTTGTTCAGCAACGTGGACACCACCAAATGGTGTTGAAAGAGTCACATGCTGTATTTATAAGATATAATTCACCCCAACAATGTCATTTCTGTCTTCATGTAATGATGTAGGACTATTTGCGACCACAAAATGACACGTGACGTTAGCTGACCGTCAGCTGTTACCAGAGGGCGGGTGCGCGTGCCTTTGAATGAAGTCTACTTTAGTGAACAGAACCTGCATAGAGTGTGAATAACAGGTTATAAAGTTGTAAATAACATTCAGTTTGTGGCACAGAGTGATCGTTTGGGAGCTGCGCGGGAAGTGAACTGCTTGGCAGTGAAAATGAAACCGAAAGCGCACACAGTGTTGCCAGATGTAGCTGACTGATTCCAGCCCAAAATGTATTCAAAACCTGCTGAAACGCAAAATTACCCACCCAGTCTTCTGTATTCCCGAAAATCACATCAGTGACAGATTTTAGGAATCATCAGAATTATCATCAGCATTAATGAACAATACAAATCTAAAGTCTGTTCAAGTCCACCATTCCAAGTCTATATAAAATTTAGCAGTTTAACCAATAGCAAGGCTACACAAAGCCTATTGCTGTTTTACCACATGTTTGAGAATAACAATAATAGTAGCTCACTCATATTGACCTTTTTTACATCTATAGAATCAAGAGAAAATTGTGATATTTATTTTAGGCAAAAAAAAAATCGAGATTATCACTTTAGCCAGAATCATGCATCTCTAGCGCATACTGGAATTTGTTCAGTAAAAGTGTTTCCATCGTAGTTTATGCACATTTTTTTAGTATTGAATAAAACGCTTATCCTTCTCAGTTGTGTGCATTAATTTTTTTATGTGCATTTTTAAAATGGATGCGCATCTTGGCCTCTCCATCAACTTTTTTTAATGCGCACAACCAAAATGCACATGAACATAGGTTGATGGAAACAGCTTGTACAAATCTAGCATTTTAAGCAGTTGGTTCACCTAAAAATGTACTCACCTTTGTGCTCCTCTTTGATTCAACAAGTGAACTATTATTTAAAAATATATTAAGATATTTCTGTTTCTCCATCGAAACAAGGGCTCAAAAAAATAAAAGCATATCAATCAAACTGTTTAATACACGTCTTCTGAAAAGAACTTTTTAGGGAAAAATTGAGATAGCTGCTTTTGAAACAGTTTCATGGCAATTTTGTTTCGTGCTTTCAGAGCATGTATGAACTTCTCGAGATCATATGATTTCAATAAACAGGGCTTTGTTACATTAATATTGTTTCGAATTCGAAAATTTAATGCCTCTCCATTTGGGGCGATCAGTGTAATACAATAAAAACAAATTGAATGACATGGGGTCATTCAGATCGCCCTCCATTGGGTTATCAATGAATAGGTTTCATATTTTTTTATCTGATCTTGGATCAGTTTTTTGAGACAATTTCAAAATTAAAATAAATAATATACTTCATTCCTGGTCTATTTAGCAAACCCCACGATGGATAAACAATTTATAACAACTTCTAAAAGCATCATAGTTTGCTGATCGATAAATATAATATATGTGAATAAATTCCAAAATTGAATCTCTTCGTCATATAAAGTGATTGTGTCTCTTCAGAAGACTTTGATTGAACAGCTCAATTTGTACAGTATGGATCTATTTCTTTCTTTTAAATGTCTTAATGATTTGAGGTGTCAGAGGTTTGAATGAACAAACTCCAAATGGAGGGACCAAAATCTTTCAGATTTGATCAAAAATATCTTCATTTTTGATGTTTTATGGGTTTCAAACAACAGTGAGTTAATGATGAGTTAATGAGTTAATGATTCATTTCGGAGAGAACCAATATTTCAATTCCCAATGGTGATCTAGTTACAGCTCAAAATTAATTTTTACCTTCTATTTGTTGTTGTTGTTGTTGTTTGAAGCTATTAAAGAAAAAAAGCGCTTTAAAATGTTCTCAGGTGGACTAACATTTCGAAAGCCTCAAGATATTTGCAGAAACGGTGTCAACCAAAGCCCTACAACAAATGACTGATGACAAAAATCAAACTGTCAACTAGAGTTGTGGTTTAATTCATGTTTTTGGCATTCTCTGTGGAAGAATATAGGCCTGAGGTAAAAGGCTGAAAGACAAATACAGGGAAACAAAATTAGACCTCTTGAATGCAAACTGAATATCTTCTGCAATTGCTGAAACGCATTCATCACTGGCTTCTAGGTACTGCCCTGCAAACCAGAGTGCCGGTGTTTATCAAAGTGCGAGATGTGAATGACAATGCGCCGGAATTTGCCATGGACTTCCAGACCATTGTCTGTGAGAATGCCAGAGCCGGTCAGGTATGCTGCTTTTTCATGTTTATTCATTGTTTTATGCAAATATTTTACTAAACACTTCTGTTTTGTTTTGTTCTTCTGCTGTTTTATTGAGCTTTAGTGCTTCATTTATTACTAGGACGCTCTGTTATTCAACACAGTACATCAAAAAAGAAGGGAAATAACAGTTGAAGAATCTTTGCTTTTTCTGTTTCCAGGCCATCCAGACTATAAGCGCTGTTGACACTGATGAACCACTGGTCGGACACAAGTTTGTTTTCAGTCTCAGTGTGATCAATCCAAACTTCACCATTTTCGATAATGAAGGTAATTTTAGTAAAGCTTGCATGTGCATCAGGGATAAAGAAAAACAAAAAGTTGTAACGTAAAGTTTTAAATAAATAATACAGTGATGAGATAATGTCTTATCTTTAATTCTGAAAAAAATATATATTATTAATAATAATTATTGAATCTGGAAACTAATATATATATATATAAGAAAACAATTATAAAATAAGAATAATAATAAGAATAAGAATAATAATATAATATTTCAATAAATAATATAATGTTTTAAGGATTTTGAAACAAATAATATTTTTTTTTAAAAACTGATAATAATAATAATAATAATAATAATAATAATAATAATAATAATAATAATTTAATATATGAACATAAATATTACTAACAATTTAATAATAATAATAATAATAATAATTATTATTATTATTATTATTATTAGTAGTAGTAGTAGTAGTAGTAGTAGTATACAAAATATTATTTATTTATTAAAATGATATATTATTATTTTATAATTGTGTTTGATTTCAAAACTTTATATAACACCTTTTTAATAATATTATTAATAATAATAATAATAATAATAATAATAATAATAATGATATTAATAATAATAATAATAATAATAATAATAATAATAATAATGTATTAATTTCTTTAAATAATATATTATTATTTAATAATTGTATTTTATTTAAAACTTTATATAACATTTGTAATAATAATAATAATAATAATAATAATAACAATAATAATAATAATACTTATTCCCCTTCTAGGGAACTTCAACACTGCGTCTAACCAGAACGCTAGGGGAACACCTCTTTTATACGCGTCTTGAAGCACATGTGAAATCAATCTAATGTAATTAAGCAGGTGTCGTCAGACCAGAGAGTATAAAAGCCTGTACTGAGCATTCAGTATCAACTTCTTTGCTTTCAAGAAGCACGCACGTGAAAATACACCCTCTTTCTGTGATCTTTCATTACTGATTTGCATACACAAAATACAAAAAAACTGACAACTTACTTTTTTATTTTGGTATGGCAGAGAAAAACTTTAAACGTTGTGTGCCTCCATGCCCTCGCTTTATTACGGCTGGTGACTCACATGATTTGTGTTTAGAGTGTTTGGGAGAAGAGCATGCCCTGGTAGCATTTGAGAATGCTGACTGTGGACACTGTGACGTTCTCTCCCGTAAAGAGCTGCGCAGTCGGAGAGAGTTCTTTAATAAAGCTCCCGTGGCGCACGCTCCTCGCGGTTCGGGTCCCGCTCGTGCTGAGGCTGAGTGTCGACTTCGGTCGTGGGGTTCGCAGCTAGATCTGGCGGATGAGATGGAGACGGACTCTGTCCTTTCTCTCTCTGGATCCGTGAGATCTAATCCTCCTTCGGGAGCGTCAGAAGCACGCTCTGCGGTTTCTTCTGCGCCTCGTGAGAGGGCGGCGTCCTCCGTTTCCGAGGAAACCGAGGCGCCGCAGCAACAAATAAAAAGAGGGTCGGGGAATCTGCCGCCCCAGTCAGCGGAATATGAGGAGTTAGTGGAGGTGATTTCACGTGCTGCTGACCGGTTCGATGTAATAGATTGGCAGCCAGCACGTGAGCAGCAGCAGCTGCGTCTGACAGGAATGCTGGATGAGAGAGAATTACCCAGCAGAGTAGATCCTCCACTAAGGGACCTCCCCTTTTGTCCCGAGCTACATGATGCGGTTTCTAAATCATGGAAAAATCCGTATTCAGCATGGTTAATGACACCAAAAACAGCTATTTATTCAGCAGTTCGTGGGCTAGGGGAAAAGGCATGTACAGTAATGCCAATGATAGAAGAGGACTTAGCGTGTCATCGTCGTTCAGATCTAAAATCTGCAAGGGTCCCTCCTTTGTTGTCGAGACCATTAAGATTAACATCGGGTCTAGTCAGTAAAGCATATATGACGGCTGGTCAGTCTGTTGGATGCCTGCACACCATGTCAGTGCTGCAGGCATATCAGGCTGACCTAATTAAAGATTGCCTAGATGGTGGGGGAGCAACACCCGAACAGCTTCGAGAAGCTCTTCGGGCGTCAGATCTAGCTTTAAGAGCTACTAAAGAGGCAGCCTCTAGTTTGGGGCGATCTATGGCTACCCTGGTGGCTACTGAGCGGCACCTCTGGCTGACACAAGCAGAAGTGTCAGAAACCGATAGAGCTATTCTTATGGACGCTCCAATATCGAGCTCAGGGCTCTTCGGTGACGCCGTTGATCGCGTCGCCGAATCCCTCGACAGAGTTAAAAAACGCTCTAGCTCCCTCGGGGACTTTCTCCCCCCAAGATCAAAAAGTCTGGGCCAGCCGTCAACCAGCTCCTCATATCATGAAGTTCAAAGGATAAAACAAAGTCCTGACGTGTTGGGAGTCAGGCTTTCCAGGGCCCCCCCTGGACGCCGAGAGCACCATTCAGCGCTCTCACTGAACCAGGGTCCGCGGAGAAAGGGAGAGACCACCTCACCACGTATGCTGGTGGGGGGCTCTGTGTCTCCCGGGGTGGGCGTTCCTCAGTGTCTGAGGGCATTGGGGGCCCCACCCCCTCTGCAGGGGGGTCAAAGAACAACCAGAGGCCAGTCTCGAGAGGCTGGTACCCCTAGCACATTTTTTGGCAGCGTGGAAACACCTGCCGATGGTGTCCCAGTGGGTCCTGTTCACAGTAGAACACGGCTACAAAATACAGTTTTGTGCACGTCCACCTCGCTTCAACGGTATTGCACCCACCATAGTGAAGCCAGAACAGGCTCTGGTTATGGAACAGGAAGTACTGGCCTTATTAATAAAAGGCGCAATAGAGCGTGTTCTCCCACTCGACAAAGAGTCAGGGTTTTACAGCCGGTATTTTATAGTTCCCAAAAAGGATGGGGGATTGCGTCCCATATTAGATCTGAGAAATCTAAATCGGTCCGTCGAGGCCCTCAGGTTCAGGATGTTAACCATCAAAAACGTGGTGTCACAAATTCAGTCCGAGGACTGGTTTGTGACGATAGACCTGAAAGACGCATACTTCCATATTCCATCCTTCCCCAACACAGGAAATACCTGAGGTTCGCTTGCGGGGGCGAAGCGTTCCAGTATCGGGTTCTTCCATTCGGCCTAGCTCTGTCACCTCGAACCTTTACCAAAATAGTCGAAGCGGCACTAGCTCCACTTCGTATGCAGGGGATACGTATCCTAAACTGCATAGACGATTGGCTAATTCTAGCTCAGACTCAAGATATGGCAGTTCGGCATCGAGATGTCGTTCTCACCCATATCAGAAGGTTGGGGTTTCGGTTAAACACCGCAAGAAGTGTGCTTGTTCCAGCCAGGACGACCATTTCTTTAGGTGTGCTATGGGACTCCATGACGATGCGAGCACGTCTGTCCCCGCCATGAATCGAATCGATTCAGTCAACCGTACACAGAGTCAAACTAGGCCAGTTCATCACTGTGAAACACTTTCAGAGGTTGTTGGGTCTCAGGGCAGCAGCAGCCAGCTTGATTCCGTTCGACATGAGACCCCTGCAGTGGTGGCTCAAATCCAGGGGGTTTTCCCTCAAGGGGAGTCCTTTCCGCATGATCAAGGTCTCGCGGCACTGCCTTCGAGCCTTAAGTATGTGGAAAATACCCTGGTTCCTGTCCCAGAGCCCAGTGTTGGGGGCTGTCTGTCATCGCGTCATGCCTATGACAAATGCTTCTCTGACGGGCTAGGGAGCAACGGGCTTGATCCGCATGATCAAGGTCTCGCGGCGCTGCCTTCGAGCCTTAAGTATGTGGAAAATGCCCTAGTATCTGTCCCAGGGCCTAGTGTTGGGGGCTGTCTGTCATCGCGTCATGCTTATGACAGATGCTTCTCTAACGGGCTGGGGAGCAACCCTGAGGGGGCTTCCCGCAGCGGGACGATGGGGAGAACATCATCGTTACTGGCACATAAACTGCCTGGAGATGATGGCCGTGTTTCTGGCCTTAAAACACTTTCTCCCAGATCTAAGGGGCCATCATGTTTTTAGTCTGCACGAACAACACATTGGTGGTCGCTTACATCAACCAGCAGGGGGGTCTGAAGTCTCGAATGCTATGCAAACTAGCACATCGGATCCTCCTGTGGGCCCAGAACAAAATCCTGTCCATCAGGGCAATGTATGTCCCGGGCCATCTGAACATGGGAGCAGATCTCCTGTCGAGGCAGGGGGTGAGATCCAGGGAATGGAAACTTCTTCACCCCGAGGTGGTGGAGTCCATTTGGGAAAGATTAAGGAAAGCGCAGGTAGACCTGTTTGCTTCCCAAGAGACCACGCATTGCGTACTATGAGTTTCTCTCTCGCATCCAGCCCCTCCGTGACTGGTTGCCATGGTTCAGACATAGCCGAGGCTACGTCTGTATGCTTTTCCCCTGATCGCTCTGCTCCCAGGAGTCCTGGAGAGGGTCCGTCAAGACTGAGTACGGTCACTGCTGGTAGCCCCGGTTTGGCCTACCAGGATTTGGTTATCGGACCTCATAGCCCTGCTGGCGGGTCTCTCGTGGGAGATCCCCATCAGCAGGGACCTTCTGTCCCAGGGGGGAGGAATGATACTTCATCCCCTACCCGACCTGTGGAAACTGTGGGTGTGGCCTCTGAGGGGGCCCACCTCATAGAGTATGGACTGTCAACCGAGGTTGCTCAGACCATTCTAAGCTCCAGGGCTCCCTCCACAAGGAAGCTTTATGCCCTAAAATGGGCTCTCTTTTCAGCTTGGTGCAGAGAACACCAGCTGAACCCAGTCAGCTGCCAGGTAGCCTCAGTGCTGGAATTTCTCCAAGATCGCCTGTCTGCTGGGTTAGCTGCATCCACTCTGAGAGTGTACGTGTCAGCTATAGCGGCCTACCGTTCTCCCCTAGATGATGAGTCACTAGGACAGGATCCGCTAATTCGTCGCTTCCTTCGTGGAGCCATAAGGCTAAGGCCTGTCAGCACACACAGGGTACCGACATGGGATTTAACATTGGTGCTCGAGGGCATCTCTGTTCCCCCATTTGAGCCACTGCAGGAGGCGTCAGATAAGTTTCTGACACTAAAAACAGCTTTCTTATTAGCTATTTCTTCCTTAAAAAGGGTTGGTGACCTCCAGGCTTTGTCGGTTGCACCTTCATTTCTGGAGTTTGCTCCAGGCATGTCCAAAGCCTTTCTTTTTCCCAGACCGGGGTACGTGCCTAAGGTGCCCACTCATGTGGCGAGACCTGCTGTGCTACAGGCCTTTAACCCGCCCCCATTTCAGTCGTCGGACCAAGAGAAGTTAAACTTACTCTGCCCAGTTAGAGCTCTGAATACATATGTTAACCGGGTTATCAACTGGAGAAAGAGTGAACAGTTACTGGTCTGCTTCGGACCCTCAAAAGGGGGAGTCCGGCAAATAAGCAGACAATAAGTAATTGGATAGTTGAGACTATCTCATTTACCTATCAGGCTGCTGGACGCCCTGCACCTAAATTTGTTAAGGCCCACTCCACAAGGGCTGTCGGGGCCTCCAAAGCTTCTATTTCGGGCTCAGCCCTTTCTGACATTTGTTTGGCGGCAGGATGGTCGACTCCACATACATTTGTGCGTCACTATCAACTCGATGTAGACCCCTCACCAGGGTCCTCTATTCTCACTGCGTAGTGTGCGTTCACAGTCAGCAGTGAGTCTGGCCTAGTGGGTATTGCGTTCCCCTAGCGTTCTGGTTAGACGCAGTGTTGAAGTTCCCTAGAAGGGGAACGTCTCGGGTTACGTATGTAACCATAGTTCCCCGAGAGGGAACGAGACACTGCGTATTCCGCCATACTCTCTTCTGCCTGTTACTTCTTTCAAGCAAATTCGAAGTTGATACTGAATGCTCAGTACAGGCTTTTATACTCTCTGGTCTGACGACACCTGCTTAATTACATTAGATTGATTTCACATGTGCTTCAAGACGCGTATAAAAGAGGTGTTCCCCTAGCGTTCTGGTTAGACGCAGTGTCTCGTTCCCTCTCGGGGAACTATGGTTACATACGTAACCCGAGACGTTCTCTAATTCCTTTTTCACTATTTGGTTCAAAGCAAGACTGACCACTGTCAATCCTTTAACATTCATTATATATATATATATATATATATATAGTAATGCAACATTGCTGCATCACCCAATGTGAAACTCCTCATTGTTCATACACCTGCACTTGTACCCGTTTGTAAAACTTTCTGCTAAAAAAACACAACTCAATATTTAGCTTTTGTAAACAACACAGTCCATCACTGTCCACTCATTATCTCAGCATCTCTTGAAATAATTGTCTTCTAGACAACACAGCGCAGATCCTGACCCGCCGGAGCGGCTTCAACCGCAGAGAGGTGAGCTCCTACTTGCTGCCCGTCATCATCTCCGACAATGATTACCCCATCCAGAGCAGCACCAGCACGCTGACGGTCCGCGTCTGCGCCTGTGACAGTCATGGAAATGTGCAGACGTGCAGCACCGAAGCCCTGCTGCTCTCAGCTGGACTCAGCACCGGAGCTCTGGTGGCCATCCTACTCTGCATTTTAATACTACTGAGTAAGTGTTGAACTCTTTTAAAAGCCAGATTAAGACTGTGTTTAGCTATTTAAAAGCATTTACAGGGCCCTGTGTGGTGTCTCTATGAACACGCTGCCCCTGGACTGATGCCCAATCGGCCATATGGTTCATCCGGCCCTGCTTTAAGCAACACTGAACAGCCTTTCTGCTTGCAGCATTTTTGTTTCAGCGCTTCTTATGAGCCTCGATTTCATAGAAGGGTTTCATATATCATCTATAGCACACTGATGTAACTTTAAGCTTCAGCTAGTTTCATGAGGGTAAACTTAAGACATTTTTACGACCTTTTTAAGACTAACTGAAGAAAATTTAAGGGAAAAGACAGCAATATTATTATGTTGAAAACTATAACTATAATGGAAAATAGTAGACATTGCACAAAAAAAAAATAAATAAATATAAAAATATTTTTTTTACTTTTTGAGTTTTTTTCTTGTTTCCAATCCAAATATCTTAAATCAATAGTCTTGAATGAATGATTTCATACAATTTCCATACCAAAAAAAAAGAAAAAAAAAAATTGACGATCCACGCGCAAAGTCCAAAGCGCTGGGCGCAAAAGCATTAAGGGTGTGTCAGAATCCACTTGCTATTTTTAGGACGGAAAAATCCGCTTTTGTGTCATGGCGCATGGTCTAACAGGGTTGAGCTTATTCTCTTAATGAGTTATAGGTATGTTTTGAGAATAAACCAATCAGATTCTCATCTCTCATTCCCTTTAAGAGTCAGCTGTGTTGCACCATAGAGAATTTGCTATTTACATGGAGGACTTTGTAAGTGGAAAAACTGAACACTTCACTAGCGAGAAAACAGTTAAACAGAGTGAGAATGAGCCTCCTAATTCTTTACTTGCACTTTTACTCTAGTGGATAAGGAATTGTTGTACGCACAGACATCCATTAGCCTACGTAATTAATTTTGTTTATTAGCGCAAAGATTTGTTTGAAAACTATTTCTAAATTCAGTTATAATTTCCAGTAAAAGGATAAATGAACAATGGTAACGAAGTGTGGTCAAAAAACTGAGTTATATCCAAATACACATGCTGTGCCCCATATGGTCTAAAACCTGACAGGTGGACAAATCTAGCCTTGTTTTTAATAAAAAAAATATAAATATGCATATAATAAATACTACTACTAATAATAATAACCTTATACACAAGCAAACTGTTATAAATAAACTGAAAAAGCCCGTTGGTGTGCATGATCACATTGGCGGCCTTTATTTAGTCACGAGGCATTAAACGTTGACGGAAAACATGAGCAAAAAGCGTGTCGGTGTGCACGGGCCTTAAGAATGAGAAAACCACAGATATGCTGTTCTGAAATAACGTTGAGACTCAGGAGCATTATATTGTTAGTCCACCCGCTCCCATTCAAATTACACTAGAGTTACTGACAGAGTTCCTATTTTATTCTAAAATGTATTCCCACGGCACAAGACATTTGATCTGACATCTAATGTATATTTGATGTATATATATATATATATATATATTATTTTTATCCTTTTAAACATTATTAATTATTTACATGTTTTCATATCACATGTTTTCTTCTGGAAAAAGTCTAATTTGTTTTAGTTTGGCTAGAGTAAAAGCAATATTAAATTTATTTATATATATAAACATTTTAGGGTCAATATTATATATTAGTAGCGTCGTGAAGCAATACATATAAATATTTTTTTTTTT